GTCATCCACCAAATTAAAGTACTCCCAATAGCGCACCGAGTACTCGCTCAAAGTCTCATTCGACTTGATTTTCATTACCCACAAAGAGTCTACTTGTTTCGGTTGAGTCTCATTGGTGATGAATCTTGCCCTAAATGATTCTTGGAGTTGATAAAAACTTTCAATCGAAGCCGATTCAAGCTTGTAATACCATTTGATGGCGAGCGGTTACAAACTGCTGGGGAATATTCAGCACGCGAGTGTCTCGTCATTTGCATGCAGTGTCATTGCTTGCTTGTAATAATGAACGAGATCCGTGGAGTTCGACTTTCCATCGTATAGAGTGAAAGATGGTGTTTTAAACTTCTTAAACAAGACGGCCTTGGCTATACGTCGTATGAAAGGATCATGCTTGTCTTATGAATTTAAATCACCGTATCTCTTTTTATGTCCATGTCACACTTGGCCTCGTTTTCAGGGTTCTTTCTAAAAGAAATCTGACATACTGCTACTGTGCCCTTGAGGTTGACGTTGTCGCCTCTTTTGCACACTTGGCAACTGACCGCGCTCATGGCGAGGTGGTAGTTGTTAGGACTTTGCCAACTCTTAACACAGGCACTCGTTCTCTACTGCCATGTCTTCGAGATGCTGTTCATTATATTGCATTTGATTCACCAATGTTTGCATGGCATCTTCTATGGATATTGAAGGCTGAGAAGGGGTTAGCGGGTCAAAATTCAGAGACCTCCTAGCGGGGTTTCTTCTGGACCAAGAGTTGCTCTTGCTGTAGCATTATCAACTCCGGTGACTAGACGATCTTAATTTGGGTTTGCCATTGACGAGTTCGAGTATTCCCACAAACGGCGCCAAATGTGGGGACGTGGTTTTGGAATGTTTCTTCAGTCCAAATGAGCCCTTGTAAGATCTTCCCAGCTATCGTCTAAAACAAAATTAAAACTCTGGTCGATGATATTGGAATTAGCATTTCAACGAGAAAGTTAGCTTCTATAGAAAGATTAGTATTTTTGGTTTCTTAAGGTACAAGTTTTTTAGAACATACCTCCTCCTTTTATAGAGTCATTCTCCTTGATATTTTCTCCATGTAACTTAGCCCTTCATCACCACTATGTTAGGGTCCATCTCCTTACTGCACTTTTTAGAAAGGAGCAGCCTGGACCCATTTATTGAGACCATGCCGACTTACCTGATACACTCGACTCTAACGTACGGTAGAAGTATCCTTAACTCGGCGTTCTCCTCATTATGTCTTTCGTGTCTATTCGACAATGGCTTTTAGTCCAGTGGGCTTTGGCTTCATTCAACCCATCTTGGATGGGCTTGGATGTACTCAGTTTGCCGTTTTAAGTATATCTTTTTTCGACTCCCACAGCCACTATCACCTTTGATTCCTCAAGTCATCTAAAGAGCTTTATTGGCATCGTTTTTCTTTCTTAATCATCTTTCATTTCTCTCCATCCCCCTCTAATGATTTGGCCACCTTAGTGCCTACCATCTTTCTAGAAGACATCCATCAACCAGATATACTTCTTCATCCTATCATTGTTGTTTGGAAACACATTGCACTGCAAGTGAAGCATGACTTGACATTATCAAAAACAAAATTAGAAGAAAGTACTAGATTTAAAGCTAATAGTTCTTATGAAAATTACATTTTCAATCCTTATACTTCATCCTTTGTGTCACTATGATTCTTATAGTTTGGGCCCACGTGATTTACTATGAATTTTTTATTTTTCCTCAGTTTCCTCAGTTTGGTCCAATCTACAACTAGAGTTAAGGAATTGGATGGAAAATGTGCACATGAGAAACATTTGTGTTTCAATGTCAAAAGTGTAAATTTCCTTATCTCTTCTTCAACTTAGTGAATTAAGTCACTCAAAAATAAAAACTAGTATACCTATAGAAAGAGATGTGACAACCACCTCCTTAATTAAGTAAATTAATTATATTGATTATGTGCTTATTGTTAATTATGTGATTATGTGTTATTAAGTGTTATTAATTGCCATGTGATTATTTGAATTGAGTTATTGAGAACAGATATACTAGAATGTGAATTGAACCTGTCTAATTCAAAAATTTTAATAAGTTAGAATCAAAAAAATATATCTTCTCATACTTTGTATGTGTTTTCATAAATAAAGCTTTCTCTTTGTTGATCAAAAAAAAGTTAGAATCAAATAATTAGATACAAAATTAAAGCCTAATTCACATTAGGTTATTTAAATTTAGTTTAATTGAGATCATAATATGATAAGAATTAATTTAATTTGAGTGAATTTGATTTAATTAGTTAAACCTATAATTTATTAATGCTTAAGATTAATTAGAGATTAATTAATCCTTAACTTTACTCATCAAATTGAATAACAAGGAAAGTAGAAATAAGAGAGAGTTAGTGGTGAATGTAGAGACAAACTTGTGAGACAACTTTGAGGGACTTTTAGAGAGAGAATAGGAAGAAGAAGAACTTAGAAGAACAATGAAGATAGGCTTTAAGTACCACAAATCAAGCAACTAGGGTAAGGATTCTCTTCTAATCTCATGAAATTGAGATAAAATACTCTTAATCCTTTTGGGTATGAATTGAACTATGATGAATTTATGATTAATTAGAAGTTTTGTTCATGAAATTTGGAGTTTAGACTATATGTGTCTTATTATGGAAAACATAGGATGATTTATTTCTCACACTCAACATGCATGCATACTTTCATGGAAAATTGTTTGAATACACTTGACATCTTGCATGGTTCTTCAATTAAAAAGGAAATCTCCATGAATTTTGAGAATTAGAGCCCAAACTTGCATGCTTTATGACCATTCATGTTAAATTCAAGAGCTAAGTGTCTTACATGAAAATTGAGCCTCAATTGAAAGCTATGAGTCTTGATTAAAGTTAGAAATTGTTAATTCACCATGTGTTTATGAGTTTTGGACCTTGAATTGCATGAAAATGAGGTTGAAATTGCAAACTTTGAACTTTATACTTGCAACAGATTTTCGGATTTAACAGCGCCCAACACCGCACGTGTTGCCTGGTGCCCCGCATGTGCGGAAAACAGAACATTTCGAAGATTACATACTAAAATAATTGCACGTGCGAGGTGCACGTGCGGTGGTGGTTCCACACTTGCGGCCAATGCCCCTGCACGTGCGGTTGTAAGAGCGATCCCGATTTTATTTTTGCTCTATTTTTCTATCTTCTGGGCCTCCATTTGCATGGTTTTAAAGTGTTTTTCATGTGCATTTGGACGTCGTGAACACGAATAAAATATAGAACAAAAGTTAGAGTCGAAGGAGTAAACAACGAATAGAAACCATATAAGTAAACTACTGATCGAATGATGGAACTGTGTATTGAGTTGTTGTGCCTGAATTTATTTGTTTAGGTCGGACGCCACATCTTTAGTGCATCTTTATAGCATGTGTTTCGGGGAGCCCACTGTGAATAACAATGTTGTAAAGCTATGTTCGTAATTATTTTCTGATTGATTAAATGAATTATTTTCTAAAGTAATATTGTTTACTGAATGAATAATTCTCCTATTTTTTGAACTGTACTCGTGGCATCCATAGCATATTGCTATTATTATCGCTATTGTTACAGAGATCTCTGTCAGTTCCAATTCTTAGAACTATTGTTTATTGTATTGATGGCCATCAATTGATTATTGGGTCTTTAAGACCTATTGCATTGTTCTGCTATTGGATGTACCATGTATGACCATTATGAATCTAAATGATTTAATGATACGAGATATTGATTGAGAAAAATGATCTATTGATGAACCGATTGTTTCAATTATTGTAAGGACTTCATTCATAACCCTTTTACACAGTTGTTATTCATTGGACTCTAACTCATTGTTTATTATGTATATGTAGGTGATCGGGTACCGGATCAGAGTTAATGGTGTCGACCCGAACCCTATTTTTGTCAAGCCAACTATTGCGCCTCACCGCGGGGTTCCAATCCAACACGTGTCAAGGCTTGGGTGGTCTAGATTCACCCTTTTGAAATTATTCAAATGTCAAGATTGGTTTATGACTTTTGTTTGTACTGTTTTTGAGATTGGGATTTAATTTCCCTAACTTGTGTTTTTATTCTACATATAAGTGTTTTATGGACTTAAATGTTTGTGAATATATATAAGTATCTGAAAGTTGTTTTGTACATTTAAGCCCTCACAGCTCATTGGACGTTGTTTTTTATTATTGGTTGGCTTCCGCCAGCCCCCATTATTGTGTTATTGTCTTTATTGTTAAGCAGACCTTCGGTAATCACGGATTACTGGCTGGTTATGACGCTAAACCTATAGGAGCGGGTTTGGATCGTGATAGAAAAAGAGAGTATGGAGGCCACGAGGTTAGAAGGGAGGAAGGTGAGGCTTGGAAGGGGGAGAGAGGCAATAGGGTGGTCGAGGAAGGTTGGGAAATGTTTTGGGAAAAAAGAAAAAAGAAAAAAGAAAGTAAGCGGAAAAAAATGAAAGCTAGTCATAGATATGGAGAATTTATATCCTTTTCAAGTTTTTTTTTCCTTCTCTCTTCGCTATTTGTTCTTTTCCTCTACAACTTTAAGATGCAAACATAGCTTTATCGGATTGGTTATGTTCATTGCCACCATAAAAGGTTTGCTATGTATATTTATAGTTGTAAGAGGATTTATTTTGAAGCTGAAAATGTCCAAATTGGCAATGTCAAGAACCCCACATCAAACAATCCATTGAGTAGTGATGTTAGAACATAACGATGGAAAGGAAACTTCGATTTTTGAGGGCTTTGCTCCAGTTGGTCTTCATCGAGCTCGTACTCGATCTTGATCTGTTCTCTATCTCAGATCAGAGTATTATCACACTTCGATTCTCGTCTTTTATCTTCGATTATTCTGTAAATCTTTTTCTCTCTCTAAATACTTTATTCGGATCTATATGTGTTCGATCATGGCGATGGAACGTGGTTGAGTCTAAAGCTTGAGCTTGAACAGAGTTGTGTGAGGAATGGAGAAAGGAGGATGGATTCCGGTATTGAAGCAGAGAGGAAGTAAAGGAGGTTGGAGAAAGGAAGCTAACGCAAGATTATTCACGATCTTTGTTGATGATCTACCTAGATCAATGACCTTGAAGATGTTGGGGGAAATATTCAGGAAGTTTGGAGTGGTGAAGGATGTCTACATTCTTCTGAAGAGAAGGAGAGTGAGCAACACTAGGTTTGCTTTTGTCCGGTATGATTGTGAAATGGCAGCAGAAGTAGCAGTGCAAAAGGCTAATGGGATATGGGTGGATGATAAGAAACTGGCCGTGAAGCACGCAGATTACGGCAAGAAAGATATGGAAGTCAAAACCCGATATCGTCCTCAAATAATAGGTTTTCCACATGTGGAAGGGGTGAGAGCGGTGTGTGGAAGCCAGTAGCAAGTGTTCGGACGTATGCAGAGGTCATTAAGAATAGTCATGGTATGGAAAGTGGAAATGTGTCTGTCCAGGCAGAGGAAGTCGGAAACGGGTGGCTATATGAAAGTGCGGTGGTTCGTCTTAAAGTTGAATACGCCAATGTTAATATTAAATATGAATTACAGCAGAGGGGCATGGAGAATGTGGTAGTGAGGGATGGAGGAGGTCGAGATGTGTTGTTAACATTTAATTCTAAGGAGTGTGTGAAAGATAGTGTGGGAACTGTGAAGGAACGGATAGGGGATTGGTGCAAGAAAATTGTGATGTGGAATTCTGATGTTCACAGTGGAGGTGAACGTAAGGTGTGGGTCTGCTGTTTTGGGATCCCATGGCGTTTATGGAATAGAACAACTTTAAATAGAATTGGGAAGGTATGGGGGGAGGTTATCGGTATTGAAGGTGATATATGCAGTCTAGAATCGTATGAATATGCTAGGATTCAAATTCTAACAAAGTGTATGGAGCCTATTAATAAAGTAATCAATCTGGAGTGCAAAGGGTATTCCCATACTGTGAGAGTATGGGAACATTTAGCTGGTGGACCACAGATATTGGCTGGGAGGAGTGAGAGCTCTATGGAACATGGAGGGGTAGGAGTCTACAGTTCAAATAATGGTGAGAAGGTGGGTGTAGAAGATGATGATCGGGATGGTGAGTCAGCTAGGGAGCTGGACCAATCGAAGGAGGTGTGTATTGGGGTTGGGCCAGGAAGAGTAAGGTGTAGCAATGAGGTGGAGATGGGGTCAACAAGGCAGTCTAAAACTATGGTACCAGAGTCTACTAGTAGTGAGATCGAGGGTATAGCAGATAGCATTATGAAAGTAGCTGGGAGCATAGGCAACGGTTGTGAGTTGGTAGGTTAGAAAAGTAAGGAGCAGTGTGTCATGAAAGGTGCTGGTAAAAGCTTAAGTGGATCTAGTTTGCTCAAACCGGGGGTACATTTAGAGGTGGTGCTGGGTCGGAGTAATGGAGTGGGCCTAAGTAATGGGCTTGTGGATATGAGGGCAGGGAGGGAGACGCCAACCCAAGGCTCCAAGGCTGGTTTTCAAAGGGGGCTTCAGGTGGAAAAGAGCCCTTTAATAATATGTTCTGACTTATCTGAATCACAGTGCAACGAATTGAGCTCAAGGAAAAAACTCCAGAAGAGTAGATGGAGGAAGAGAGTAGTAAAGAAATCCAGTGGGAAGAAAATCAGCGAGATGAAGCAGGGATATCTTAAGCTTCCAAAAAGCCATAATCATAGAGGAGCATCTTCAACTAAATTGGGATCGAAATGAGCTATATGGAGAGCAGCAGCTGCGGCAGCATCAGGTGCAGATTCAACAGCTAGTGGAGTAGCTAGAAGCAGATCGTTGCTTAAAGAGGCTCAGGGAACTATTCAGATGGGAAAGCTATTGGGTATAAACTTTAAAGGTAAAGAAGAGGAAGTGATGACCAAAATCTTGGACCTTGAGGCAAAGGATAGAGCAAGAAGGGGAGGGGATGTAGTCCCTACAGATTAATTAGATCTTGGGGGGTCAGAGTTCAGTGTAAATGGTTATGATGAAGCTACTAACATGGAATGTCAGAGGTTTGGGGAGAAAGGAAAAAAGAAGTAAAATTAAGAGGTTGTTGAAGGATAGAGGTATTGATATAGCTCTTTTTCAAGAAACAAAGAAGGCCTCCATGTCCGAAATGGAGATCAAAGAGATGTGGGCTAGGGATAGAATGGAATATATGATTGTAGATGCTGAGGGCTCTGCTGGTGCCCTATTACGCATTTGGGATCCAAGAGTTTTTCAGATGTCAAGCTGCTGCTGTAATAGGAGGTTTGTTCTCCTCTCTAGGTCTTTATTCTTTTCTTTTGATTGTGTCTTGATCAATGTGTATGCACCAAATGAAGTGGGCCAACGAGGTAAACTGTGGGAGTGTCTTCTAAAGTTAAAAGAGGAGTATTCTAAGCCCTGGTATATAGGGGGGGACTTTAATGAAATTAGAAAGATTGGTGAGAGGAAGGGCTGCTCTAGGAGGGATGAGGGGATAAAGGAGTTGAATGATTTTGTGGATAGAAGTGAGTTGAACGATTTGCCTTTATTAGGCCGCAGGTTTACATGGTGTAATGCTCGGGAAGGGAAGAAATGGAGCAGAATTGATAGGGTTTTGGTGGATCCAAGATAGGTGGAATCATTTAATTTGAAGTTGTGGGGACTTCCTAGAGTCTTATCTGATCATAATCCTTTACTGCTTATGGAAGATGAGAGAGATTGGGGCCCTAGGCCCTTTAGGTTTGTTAATGCTTGGATGTTACACCCAAAATTCTTACCTTTTGTGGAAAAGTGGTGGAGGGAGCATCAGGTGGAAGGGTGGGTTGGGTTTAGGTTATTCTAGAAATTGAAAGAGTTGAAATTAGCACTCAAAAAGTGGAATAGTGAAGTGTTCGGTAATGTAAATATCAAATTGAAGAAGGTAAAGGAGGAGCTCCATATGATTGATTTGTTAGCAGAGGAAAGAGAGCTTGAAGAGGCAAAAAGAAGTAGAAGAAGAGATGCTAGAGTTGAAGCTGGATATTTAACAAGAATGGTGGAAAGGTTGTGGTTCCAAAAATAGAGACTTAACTGGAATTTTTATGGTGATAAAAACACAAGATATTTTCATGTGTTAGTGAAATATAGGCAGGGGCGTAATGAAATCAATACTCTAACTGTTGGTGATGTGGTGGTTGATGATCCGTGTAGAGTCAAGCTTGAGGTCCTAGCTTATTTTCGGAAGCAGTACGTTGAGGATTGGCAAAATAGGCCTGTATTGGTAGGTCCATTTAAGTCAGTGAGGGATAGTCCTTGTTTTGATATGCCGGAGGCAGAGTTTACTGAGGCAGAGGTATGGGATGCTGTCAAGGGTTGTGATGGGAATAGGGCTCCAGGTCCAAATGGTTTTAACTTGGCTTGCATTCAGAAACTGTGGAAGGTAATGAAGTCTTATGTGCTGAATTTTGTGTTTGATTTCCATAAGAATTGTAAGTTGGTCAAAGGAATTAATAGCTCTTTCATCACCTTGGTACCTAAAAAGGAGAATCCAGTGGGGTTGGCGGATTATAGACCTATCAGTTTGGTTGGGTCGATGTATAAAATTATTTCTAAGGTTCTTTCCTCAAGGTTGAAGGCAGTGATCCCTCAGATCGTAAGTGAAAACCAATCAGCTTTTATTGGAGGGAGGAATATTCTGGATGGTGTTTTGGTAGCCAACGAGGTTGTTGACAGTTGGAAGAAATCTAGAAGGAAATGAGTGATTATTAAGTTAGATTTCCAGAAAGCTTATGATTCATTGAATTGGGATTTCTTACTATCCATGTTGGTTAATTTTGGGTTTGGGGGAAAATAGGTGGAGTGGATTAAGGTATGTATTACCTCAGCTAGGCTTTCGGTGCTTGTTAATGGATCTCCTACTGAGGAGTTCAGTCCACAGAGAGGACTGAGACAAGGGGATTCATTGTCCTCATTTTTATTTATCATAGTTGCAGAGTGCCTAAGCATTTTGTTCAATAGAGCTTTGGATCTGGGTCTGATAAAGGGGGTTAGGATTGGCTCCGAATGGGTTAGTCCTTACTCATCTCCAGTTTGCAGATGATTCTTTGTTATTGTGTGAAGCTGATGTTATGGAGATAAAGAATGTAAAGAAGATTCTGAGGTGCTTTGAGTTGTTATCAGGGTTGAAGATAAATTACCATAAAAGTGTAATTAGTGGTGTGGGTATTCTAGAAGAGGAAATGTCTAAGTACGCATCAGTGCTAAACTGTGAAGTTAAATGTTTGCCGTTCAAATACCTCGGTTTACCGCTGGGGGCTAACCCAAGTAGGAAAGAGACTTGGCGGCCTATACTAGACAAATTCAAAAGCAAACTAGCTGGTTGGAAAAGGAAACTGTTGTCATTTGCTGGGAGGCTTGTTTTAATCAAATCTGTCATGTCCTCGCTGCCTATATACTATATGTCATTGTTTAAGTTGCCACAGGGGATTGCCAGAGAATTGGATAAGCTTCAAGCTTCTTTCCTGTGGGGGGGATTCGAATTGAGGAGGAGGGTTCATCTAGTAAAATGGAAAGAAGTGGCGAAGCCTGTAGACCAAGAGGGCTTGGGGGTTAGGAGAGTGAAGGGAGTGAATAGTTGCCTTATGTTGAAATGGTGGTGGAGGTTGGGAGTGGAAAATAAAGCTTTGTGGGGGAGAGTTTTGAGCAGTAAATATAGGATTGGGGAGGGGAGTTGGAGCCCTCAAGTAATCTCTAATGTGAGATGTTCTAAAATGTGGAAGGATATATTATTACAATCTGTACAGAGTAGCAGTTTAGTGGTAAGTTTTCTGGACAATTGTAAGGTGAAAGTGGGTAATGGCCATAGAATCAAGTTTTGGACGAATAAGTGGTGTGAAAACTTGAGCCTTAAAGATGCATTTCCACTGTTGTACAGGCTAGTAGTTGATACGAGAGTGACTTTATCTGATATGATAATCAGGAAGGAGGAAGCTGGTGAATGGTCATTTCAGTTTAGAAGGGCGCTGTTTGACTGGGAAAGAAATAGTGGAATTAATCAGATTGGTGAGTCAGATTGAGGCAGGTCCTAATCTTAGGTGTTGCTCAGAAGATACTCTTGTCTGGAAAGCCTCGGAATCTGGAATTTTTTCAGTTAAATCTATGTACATGCTCTTGGTTGAGGGATCCAGAAATAGCAGCACAGCTAGCAAAAGGATTTGGGTTAAACATGTCCCACCTAGAGTGCAATTTTTTGGTTGGCTTGCTTGGAAAGGAAAACTAAAGACGGCTGAGTTTATGCACAGGATTGGTGCTCTGCCTGCTGGTGTATTTGTAGAGTGTTGTCTATGTAAATCTGGAGCTGAGTCTCTCATACATGTGCTTTTATTATGTCCAGTGGCTTAGAGAGTGTGGTATGAAATGATTAGATGGTGGAAGATTCAAGGAGCACTGCCAGCCTCA